GCGGATGGGTTGATTTGTTCCACAGACTCCTGCTGAGGTGATGAATTGGTGAGGACAAGCTGGTGGAGTCGCGCAGGACGGAGGGGAGAGCGTCAGTCAAATTGCGGAGGAAAGAAGTGACACAGGTGCGTTGAACTCGTCTCCATCCATGGGGAATGTGCAGGATGTACCCTGCAGGGTGGCTGGATGTACGCCGTAGGCTTCCGAGCCGGTTGGAGGATACAAGCGCAAAAATGTCCGGTCGGCAGCCTGGACGGGGTTGCTAGTCAGACATACATGTAGAGCATGTACCATCGACGTCTATCTACTGGGTATGAGGTACAGGCCAAAATGACGCTGTGTTGTAGGGATGAAGGCGCAATTTTATTTATAGAGCCGTGGTTGCTGAGGTCGGGTGTCATCGAACATATTCTCCGCGTCTTCCTCACATCCCGAACCCGACGATCACTGATCATCATATGTCGGGGATAAACAGCGTTTGAGCTTAGCTGAGGAGGAAATGCAAGCAACAATACTGTAACGACCGCCTTGTTCCGTGAACCCAAGGAAGTCCGCGCCGACAAGTCGAACATGAGCGAGTCTCGTTGTTCTCAGTCATGTCACCCTCGGAGTAATTTTCTGATTATCTTTGTCTCTCCTCGTCTCCCCTTAAGAACCGGGTGCCTGGGGGGTACGTTACACCGGCTCGCCTTGTCTCGACGCGAGCGATCTTATTCCGTGACAAGAGAGATTGACGTTGACCTTTGCAGGTACTCCTGGAACGATTGTTACTCGATAATATTTTTCCTCATTCCAAGAGGGCTGCACGCAAATGGGTCGAGAAAGGTTGAAACTCGCTCCGGCTGTCAGCTTGCCGATGAATGTAAGCTAGGCTAGTTCCCCGCCGATCGCACGGAATTTCGGAGAAGTGAGACTTAGATCTGAATCGGAACAGCCCCAGCGGAGCTGAGAGGAAGTGATTCCGTTCAGGAGGGCCGATCGATGGTGGGATCCTGAGATGTGGTATTAGCGTGTTAGCGAGAATCTGGCGAGGAATGCCCGAGTGACCGAGACAGAGGGATACAGACTCAGCTTACAGCTTGAGCTTTCCTTGTCGGTGTGACCACCCGGTACAGCCCAGAGTCTGTCTATTTTGGATGGACTAGTGAGCGGAACGCTCTTCTCCGAGACTGGAGTGTGTCAAATAGAGGGTACTATACATTGAAGCAAGAAGAAAGGTGATATAGTTGGTTGGTGTAGTGGTCAAGCAGGTTTGTACTCCTACTGGATGGAGCTGAGCTGGAGCCAGGTTCCGCGTACCTGCCTAATGGGGCAAGTCACACTTGAGACGGACTACGGTCGGTACCTGAGGCATTCCACCCCGCAAGAAATCAAGGAAGGAACTCGGGTTAAATTGCCTTCTATAGTACGGTTAATTAAGCATAATCCGATGACTTCAAGTTCCATCTTTCCCAATCCCGCGACAAAGAATGGAGCTGAATACTCAATCTGCTACAATGGCAGTCTCATTAAAGAATGGAAAGACAGGCTGTCAGTGTCAGTGACAATGTCAATAGTGTCAGTGCCAGGTGAGTGAGAGAGACTACAACTCCTACACAAAATCCAGACCAGACTAGCGGTTCTGCAGCCTTCCGTCTTTTGCTCTCCCTTCACAGTAAGGCGGGTAACTAATTCAACTACAGTACGTACAGGAAAGTTCAAGGTTTCAAACACTCGGTCCAACACCGCTGATTCGAATTGATCTGCCAAGACACAAACTCCAAATCGCACCGAGAAAATTCCAAACCGGGCCCTCGCTTCGAGCTAGGAGTTCCTTTTTCCGCTGTTCCTTCTTGACTTCTTCGATTCCAAAACTCCCCCCATCTGTTCGAACAGGCGCGCGAAGCACCAAGTGGGCATCATCTCCGATGCGAACCACCCACTACCGCACGGGCGACTGGAGACCGAGACTTAGTGGCGTCAAAAAAACATGGACGGAGGAAGCTGTGCCTGAGGGGTCTGGCCACGATCCACTCTTCTTTAAGGGGCCGCCCAGGCACGCCGGACGATCATCTACCCGATCGGTCAAACCAGGAGGTGTTTCCCCTCGGCACTTCATCTCGGTGTGGAACATAGTCCCAGAAGTTGGATCTTTTGGTTCAGGAACAAGGCACACCAAACTTAATCGAGTAATTACGTCGTGGATTCAGGAACAGCCGTCGATTCAGATGAGTGGGAATCCCACGTTATTTGTTTTTAAGGAAGGGGAGCGGAATTTTAGTGTTCCTCCAAACCAGGGAATGGTGGTAGAGGAGAGAGAGAGAGAGAGACAGAAGGATGATGATGTTAATGAGTGCCGCTAACAAGCAAAGGACCGGATAAATTCTCAATTAAGCCAGGATCCTAAACTCTATCATATCTTGAGTCAGATCAATGATCCATCGCCTCCTTTTCAGGGCGCGGTCATCCAGCTATGAGTATATGCATGCACTGTGTCTACTGCCCAGGATTGCCACGCCACCGATCTGAACATTCGCTAGCACGTCTCGACTAGTCGATTTACATCTCGGTGATTCACGGAAGCCGTTGTCGATCGAGTCAGATTCTGAGCGTCTTGAACCATGGTTCACACTCTGATCGTTTGTATCAGATTTCTCCCTCTACTACTTTGTATAGGACCCAAATCCAAGATCTGGGGCTCAGGTCCGGAGAGGGAAAAATTACCTCGAGAGTGAAAATTACCCGCTGGAAGAACGGGCGGTAAGAATACACCTAGCGAAGCCGGCTAATACACAAGTAGGAACAGACCAACCAATTCTCCACGAGGCTAACCGCAACCGAGCCGCGGCCTGACCCGAGCGAGCGAGAGACGAAACAAAAAGAGCGCCGGCGTATTCGGAGCGAGCCCGTTCTGGGTCTAAGCTCTCTCGCCGGTGATTCGTCCACTGTCTTTTCCTTTGCGACTAAAAGTCACGACTCACGGAGCTAAATCGCGTTAGAGACTCTGAAGGAACAGTGAGCACCTCGTACCCGCAAGTCAGATGAAAAAGCTGTCCACTTGGGCGCTTAACTTAAAGTCTACTAGTCGCTCCGTTGCGGCGACCTGAGATTACTAGGTTTAGCGAAGTTCGAAGAATCGATAAGCGGTTTAGCGCCAATCTCGAATTTCCAATCTCGAAGTTAATAATCTTATTTTCTCGTTAATGTTTAGTCGGCGGGCAATTGATTGAGAGGAACTTGTTGCCAACAAAAGAACACGCGGTCGGACCTCCCCGGCCATAACCCTAAGGATCTTAAGTTCTACTAGTAAGAAGCAGAAACTTGGGACTATTCAATCTATCTGGAAAACACTAGCGAAAAGACACGAAGGGGAACGAGAAAGAACAAAGAAAACTGAGATCGATAAAGTTATCTCTCAGAATGGCGAATAATCCGATGTGATGATCCCGGAAGTCATCATAACGTCACAGCCGACCGCTCCCCTCCCAATACCACGGTTCAAGCGGCATGGCTTAGATAAGATGGTGACGGGGAGTAATAAATCTCGGTCGCGTAGATTTCTGGAAAAAGTGACAAAGAACATCCAGAGGAGTCCCTCAACCATGGTTTGGGGTACTCTCGAAGCTTTTCTTTTCTTGCCTCGGTTCGAGTCCGAGGAGAGGAGGAGTTGCTTGTTATTCCCCATTCAGGAATGAGCAATCTACATGTTCAGACTTGTGGTGAAGGGGAAGGTGGCGATGTTTCTTTGAGCCCACAATCTCATCATCATCATCAACATCATTGTTTGTACTGTATCCTTTGGATTCGACTCGTGTGTTGTACCTATGTGAGAATCTGGGCCTTTGTCCCCTCCCTCCGGGTGAGACATCCTGCAATGATGAGCTGGTAATCCTCCACCTCTCTCTACCTAGACCACTTCTAGGTATACCGAAGGCGAATTCTGCAAGAGGAAAACGCCAATGCCAAGTCGTGGCGCCCACGGTTGGGCCTGAGACATGGACAACAACAGCAACAATGGTGTGTGTATGTGTGGATGTGTGTATGTGTGTATGGAGTGAGTCGGTTCTATCGACGGGGATACTTCTCCGGACGAGGATTATGTTCTGAGCCTTTTCTCTTTTGCCGTTACAAAGAAGCTGACCTCTTATGGAAGGTGTATATGCCTGAACCAGACAGGGTTTCTTTCCAAGGAAATTTTAAATGTCGTGTTCTGTTTCCTCTTCGGTGAGGTAAGACTTGGAACAGACGGGGATGATGACAATGATGCGGTGCACGTCGCCATCCGACTCGGAGGTATGTCAGTATGTTTGTATGTTCGGGGGGCAAAGTTACATGCTACAGTACGGTATGTACATGCTGCTGTAGTCTGGACGGGGGCATTAGCATGGTTGGACCCCTAGAGGTAGTGGTGGTGGTGTGATTCTAGGGGAAAGAATTGACTTGTCAAATGTCTCGAGCTATTAATAAGGATGCTTAGTTATGACTCAATATGCATCTTCCGCCTGCCCTTTCGCATCAGCTGAGGGAGGAAGTGTCTGATCAGTAGAGTCGGTCTGAGACATCGTGTCGGAGGATGTCTTGATCACAATGGGCGCACTGCGCACCGGGCTTCGAATAAGGACCGGATGATATAGAGAAAAGAACCACGCTAAGTTTTCCTCCCTGGCCTGCTGCGCTGCTGCCACCGTGGGCACCTATTCAGGAATCGAATCTCAGCCTCGTGATCTGATCGACTCTCCCGTTTGCTCTTAGCAGATGACCGTTGGTATCCAAATGTCAGATTTACATGGAAATGGCTAGCTGTGTGCTAAGTTATAGCGCAGGCAAATGGAAAACTACAATACAATATGTGTGTGTGTGTGGCCTTGTTTATGCTGACAACGCGAGATTTTCCCAACAAAACTCCCTGGCGCCAATGCCCCATGCTCATTTGCAAGATCAAAATTTGCACTCGTCAGCCTCCCGAGACAAACCGCAGCGAGCAGCTTGTCGCCTGCCTCCGCAGTTATCACGATCCCCGATCAGCAGGTTTGAATCCAGTTGTCCAGATCCATGTTCTTGATGACAGTTGAGAAGTTGCCGGACCCGGTGAAGTCGCAGGCGTCGTTCTTCTGGGTGGTCGTGACCTCGTTGTTGTTGTTGGTATCGTCCCCCTTGGGGTACTCAATGTGGAACACCGGCTTGCCCGCTTTGGTGAAGGCGGCGTAGGTGTCACACTCGTCATACTCTGCGCACTGCTCGTTGACGCTCCACTGCATGTTCTTGATGACCGAGGGAATGATGGCTCCTGCGTTCTTCAGGCCGATGGACATGTTGCGGGCATGCGCCTCGTTCGCCATCCAGTTGACATAGTCGATGGAGTCGGCCTCGGTCAAACCCAGGCCATTCGTGTTGTCATAGCCATCGACATTGTCCGGGTCGACGCCGTCGCAGCTCTTCTTCTGCGCCATGTCCAGCCGGGCCTGCATGATCTTGCGCACATTCGGGGAGCTGATGTTGATCCACTTCTCCCCGGGCCAGCCGTCGAGGTTCTTGCCCAGATCGGCGGACTTGAAGTCATCCTTATCCGGGCGCCAGTTCTCGTAGCTGCCGGCCGAGAAATAGCAGATGACCTTGCGACCCGCGTCGTGCAAGCTGTTGATGATGGATTGATTGTTGTTGAAGAGATCAATGTCGTAGACGTCTACATCCACCGAGGTGTCATTGAGCGTGTACAGCAGCTCGATCTGCCAGGTCGTACCCACGGCAGGCTGCCATTTGGCGGTCGTGTAGTTGCCGGTTGTGTTCGTGGGAGGAGAGGGCTCTTCCTCACCACCGCCACCACCACCGCCGCCGTTGTTCAACCCGACTCCCAGGCCCACGCCAAGGGCAACTCCGATGACCACGATCGCACCAAGGATCGAGCCGACCACGATGAGTTTCTTCTTGAGCGACCAAGCCTTCCAGCCTCGCGCGGGGTAGCCCTTCAGGGCGGTTTCCCCAGCAGAATCCATTTTGGGGGGTTGTAGGGGAGAGAATTGGCTAAATTGACAATAAAAGGGTTTAAACCAAGAAAATAGTTCCAAGTGGTTCCCAAGGAAGTAAGGATCAATTAAGGTCAGATCAAGCAACGAGGGCAATCCGGGGAGATGGGGAGATGGGGAGATGGGGAATTAAAAGGGTGGAGAGAAGATTGATCGCAGATTGCAGATTCCTCGTGTCCAGTTAGTCTTTCAGCCCGGTCGCAATCGAACTCGGGTGAATCCAAGCGATGAGCGAATGAATGAGAAGGGAAACGGGGGTGCCTAAGGATGAAGTCTAGGAAAGCTTCGTCTGGTCACACAGGACTCAGGTTCATGTTGTTCAGCAGTGGCGCTGAGGCAAAAGAGGCAAAAGAAACAACCAACTGCTTGATGTCGATCAGGGGGTGAAGGAGATATAATTAGGAGGGGAGCCTGGGATCAAGCGGTAGATAAGATGGAATCAGAGGAGGAAGTGGTAAGTTAGTACAACTACTAGTGGTGAAAAGAACGCTGCGCTGGACCCTGAATGGAAAGAAAAGAGAAAGAAAGAGAGAGGGGAAGAAGCAAGCGCCATGCCGGCTGTGGCCGGGCTGACTTTGTCTGGACCCTGTCAATCCTGTCTGCTCTCAGGCTCTGTCGGCACTGTGCACGCCATAGTCCGGTGCACTACGGAGTACTGAAGAACAAAACTACTGAAACCACACAAATATGAGACCAGAATTCGGAAGCCTAAAACGCCCAGAACACAACTATCACCGCCGGTGTTTGGCTATTCAGCGCTGAGCGCTGGGATTGGAAAATAATCGGGTCGGCGCCTGTGAAGTCTGGGCAGGGCTCCTCCTCTGACTAAGAATTGGACCTTGGTCCAGAGATAGATAGGGAGAAGGTACACAGTAGCGATGCGAAACCACCATATTATCCAGATCTTGTGTCCACCTCACGGTGAATAAACCGAGATCTTATGAAAATGGTTGAAGATTAATAATAAGAGAACATCATGTCACCATCCATGGAATGGTTCTTTGTTTGAGGCAAGCCACACCGGAATCGGCTGGAAAGGGTTAAGCCACCCCGTGACCTCCCCACAGCCACCCATTTACCCTAATCTAGTAAAGTACCTGAGGTACGTAGTACTAGTAGGTATGGCTGGGCTCCAGGCTGGTTGTTGTTTGCCTCTTTCGATTTGTTTGTTTTTCTGTTTCAATCAAGACCAGAAGGATGCAATGGGCAGTAGAACCGTCAGCGCTTGAAGTTACTTAGCCTTGGTCGTACGAGGCTCGACCTACGAAGGAGGATCGAGTCACTGAAATAACTTAACTAACTTAGACGGAGTAGATGAGTACTGTGTAAGTATCTTAAAACTCTCTGCGTAGGCCCAGACCAGACCGTCTCGACTGGGTGACAGGAAATGAAGGGCCGATTTTCCGGTCGCAAGATGCCCTAAAAACAGACGATCGGATGATGACAACAATTCGAGTCAAGCACGCTATAGCCGAATTGCTTTAAGGTTTCGCAAAGAGTTCGCTGGGTTTCTGATCGCTGAAGAAAGTTAGACATAGATGGGCCGCGGTAAACTCAAGCCACCATGCTCTGGCGGTTTCCCTGCTCAATTTCTTGGCACTCTTTTTTCTTTTTTTTTTCTTTTTTTTTTGTTTTTCCTGTCCTTTTGTCCTTCCACCGGGCCGGAACCTTGCCAATCTTCCCTCGCTGCCAATCGGATAGTCCCAGCAAGCCACGGACACTAACCGTTCCTTCCGAGATCAGGTACGGTCAGACCAAGTATTGTTAATTACATTGGGTCAGAAATCGGTATCGACTGTTGGACAGTGCTTTCCTCATGGTAACTTGCAACTCAGCTGTAAATATCATTACATACCAAAACATCCCACAATCATCCGGCTTGGCAATCACCCGCATTTTCTGCCAAGATCAGCGTTGGAATCCCAAGACCCCCCAAGATCCCCCAAGACCACCAAGACAACACCACAAATCTGCTCCTGACCATTCTCTTCCCTCCCATGCCCCCCCATCAACCCTAAAATAGCTCTCGGACTTAGACTCCCGAACAGTTCTCGATTCATTGCCCCTACCCGAGCAACAACTTGTGCAAATAATGTGCACAAGTTCGCAACCGTCAGACTTACGCGCTCACTCATCTCGTATCCCCTCCTCTTGGCGCGCAGGAGACTACTAGCCTAGTGACCTGACTCAAGTCGCTCGACTGCTTGGAACGCGGTGGACCACCTGGGGGGGGTCTTGGCGCGCATGGCTTTTGCGCTGTCTACCACGTTTCGGTGGCGGAGAATTTAGCATGTTGTGATTGATCATCATCATCTCCCCTTCCCATCATCATCGGACACTTTTCGTGCCCAGATTCCGATCTTCTACTGGTTTTACTGACTGGTCTACTGGCCATTCTCGACTCCACTAGCTCATGTATGGGAAGTTTGGCAAGCTCCGTTACGTGGGACACACACACCTCCAGCGTTAGTTCTTTTCCAACCACTCGCACGTATGTACTCCGAACAACAAACACTAAGGCCAAAATACTACCAGGGATTGTAGCTCCTCCGACCTCCGACCCCCGCCCCTGCATTTCCCACGGTAAACCGGCTTAGCCCTTGGCTGGCTTGTTGGGCTGGCATGGCATGGCATGGCCATGGCCATGGCCATGACCAATTTGCTTTCTCCCTTTTTTTTCTTGACCTCAAACTGCACCCGACTGGCCTGACCGTCTGATCCTACAGGGATATCCGCTGCAGCAAATCTGCTGACCTGGCAGAGTTTTTCTTTGGCTGTTTACTTTCCGCCCGTTTGTTGCCTCGCGACGAACGGAAATCTGCCTCTGATTAGCACGGTAGACGCAGGAGAACCGTCCAGGCCAGCCACCGCGGCCGTCCCTGATTGACCCCCCTTCCCCCCTCCCCCTGGCAGGTGTCAACCTAAGCTTGACATGCAGGCGTCGGGTTTAAAATTTCACGGGGTGAAAGGCAAAAGAAAGGTGCTTGAGGTAGGACGGTTGTCAGGTCGAGTTTTCGAGGCGCGTAGCACAGAACACAAGGGAGAGAAGAAAACAAAGTAAACGGGGATGGGGCTGAGCAAAAGCTGAAGGGGGCCGGCGCTTCAGAAATTGAAGAGGCGATAGTTCGAACATCGTCTGTCCAGCGATGTCCTGCAGTCAGGAGATGTACGTTGTGATTATCTTTTTAGCCTGGCATAAGGATCATTGAGGAGAGAAGAAGGAGTGCGTCCATTGTGTTTGTGCTTGTGGTTTACGAGCTTGAATGGCATCATGCCTTTTTTTCCCCAACATCAGCCTACAAACTCAAGCTCAGCCCGAGACAAAGAGGCGATCTCCGCAATTCGAGTCTTGTAGCCTCATAGCCCCCCCCCTCTCTCTCTCTCATCATCATCCCGGATGATATGAGAATCTCGCCATCATGCTATTGTCGAACCGGGGATGATTGCAATGCCAACTCACAAATCTTTAATGAATACGAATGTAGGAAATGTAGTCTCCTCCCTAAACAAGAAGTTCGTCGCTATTCGAACATAATCATCGGCATGTCCGTTAACCTCCTCGTCCCCCGACCTCGGCGCCGATGATCAGCCTTGAAGACTGGGCATAAAGAAAGTCTACGAATGTAGGGGCAATGAGAAAACTGGCCATCGAACTTACCAACCCAAGCCTTAGGCTCGTGTACATATCCCGGACTCGACTTGCCTTGCCTTCTTCGGCGAGTATCTAACTAAAGTCGTGAGGTAAGCAGGTGAAAGAGTTAGTTAGTAAGTTTTAATCTAACTTGCATCATCATCAGCAGCAGCATCAGCATCAGCATCAGCAGCATCAGCATCATCCCATACAAGACAAACCAAGATGAGGTGTAACGGGGCGAATGTATGATGCATCCAAATACGAGAAACGCTAGTCTAACCGGCAGCTTAAGACAAATTAAAATTTGACAGGACCATACGCGGGGGAAGCGAAACTCAACCTCCACCACCATCGGCTAACTGACTCGGAAGTTGAACTAGGTACTAGGTAGCTTTTGCCTCCCGCTCTGTTCCTGCAAGTCAGGGTGACGGAGCGAGAGTTTGTGTGGGGAAAGGTGAGGTCTTACATCTATAGTCATAGTTTAGTTTATTATACAGCACATAGTAGCAAGTTAGTTCCATATTCCAATGTACGAGTCACTTAACTGTAGGTAACTATTTTGCCCCTGCTTACTTAGCTGGCCTTAGTAGCCAGTCAACTAAGAGCTAGTCGACTAGCGAACTAACTAAACCAGTTGGTTCTGACGACGCTATAACACCACTTCTAACAGGGTCCAGCCAACCTTCCAAGAGATTATGTGTGTATAGCCTCGTCTCGTCTGTCTTTCGGATCCGACCTCGCTGTCAACTAGACTACGACTACCACCACAAGTGTGAACACTTAGCATCGAAACCAACAGATTATCAATTGCAAGCCCAAACAGCCCCATCCATCATAAGGCCCTTAGCGAGACATACACACATACATACCTTAGGTGGTAAAAATAGGTCAGCGTAGCCGACACAACCACCGTCCACATTCCGGGCTGGCAAAGTCACCTTCCTTCCCGTCTCTCTCCCCTTCTTCCCTTCCCTTCCCTTCCCCACTCATCCCTTCCGTCCCTTTTGCCCCTCTTTCTTTTCTCCGCCCGCGCCCATTCCCATTCCCATTCCCCACAAAGTGCCATCCCATATAGATTATCAGAAACACGCACCCCGTAGGTCAAATCAAACCTCTCCATCATTCGTATATCCAAATCTAATCTAAATCCTAAACATCATCCCACAAAAAGAAAAAAAACCTGCTGAAACCACCCCCAACAAACAGGATCCATTCAGGCTAATCCCCCCAAAATCGAAAAAAGGATTGTACTAGTGTGCATACGCCAAGATCGACCGGCAGGATGCAGCAGCAAAGAGAAAAGACGATGCGCTGTCCTATCGCTCCAACTTGACAGGGGCAAAAAAAAAAAAAAAAAAAAAAACATTGGATCCCTGATCCTGGATCCTGGATGAGGGGTAGGAAATCTTAGTTCCCCCTAAATCTTTTCCCCGAGAAAGCAGAAAAAAAAAACAGGATCGTACTTTGGGGGAGATGGAAGCGTGGGAGCGTGGGGGCAGGCAGGGCAAGACAAGGAAAGAAAGGTTTGTGCTTTATGATCTGGTATGGATGATACTTTTTCTCCCGTGGACTGGTGGAACTGTGGAGGTTGTATCTTTGCGATGCCAGTGGAGCAATTGGATAGGTACAGTACAAAGCAAAAAAAAGAGTTTTGTCTCCTTTGTGCTTGAGTGGTGGTTGCCCGCGGCTTACCTGAAGGCAGCACCCATGCTCATGCTCATGCCCTTCCCGCTTTTCTCATGCAGGGTTCTGGGGGACGCCTCCTCCGGTGTGGTTGGACCTCCGCGATTTGGATTTGGGTTGCGTGCGGGATGTCTCTCTTTCTCTGTCTTCCTCTGTGTTGGTGGGTTCTCGTTGGGTAGGTTTTGGATGATCGCAAAAGTTCTTAACCTAACCTCAGCGTCATAGAGACGTAAGAGGATTTGGCTTATGGGTTGTGTTTTCTGGGAGGATGGATATGACGGTGTTTGCTGGTCCTGTGCGCGGTGGTGGTGATGGTGTGTACTGTATGTACAGAATATGTCCAGCCTCTAGTTACATTTTACAGTACCACTCCAGCTGCGTAAAAACACTAGCGATTGTATTCGTACCGTATCTCATCCTAGTGATACTCAATATCGTATCGTAGCTAATTCTACTAGTATATCCATGATGTGGCCATTATAACATTACAGGTTATGTCCAGAGGATCAGAATCCCACCAATCAAGCGAGTGTGTTGTCTCTCCCCGCGCTTTTTACAACGCGATGGGAGTGGAGAGAGTGAAGGTCACCGGCGAGCCCGACAGCTTCACCCACACGGTCAGGGGGTCGCTGCCCACCTGCTCGGTGGTGAATCCCTGGGTGCTGGTGGGCGCCACAGGGAAGGTGACGGGGACGGGCTCGCTGCAGGTGTTGCCGGTGGCGGAAACAGTCACCGCAGTGATCTGCTTGTTCGCGATGGCGTAGCTGAGAGCGTACCCGCACTTGTCGCGGTTGAAACGAGCGAGGAAGCCAGCGGACATCTATAGCCTGATTAGTGACCGATTTCAAGAGATGCTAGTTGGGCCAAGGGATTAACTCACGTCCTGGTGCTTCAGGGTAACAATAGGCCAGTCAACCAGGCGCACGAATTCCTGCACCACGGTCTCAACCCAAGCCTGGAAAATGGAGTACTTCGCCGACACGCCGTTGATGGTGATGGGGTCGACGTCTGCGTTGCGGAGGTTGGCCTGGTGGAACATGTAAGGGTCGTGGTAGAGACCAAACAGGTGGCGCATGGTGTCGGCCTCCTCCGTAGCCAGCAGAGTACTGAAGTCGCCGCTGCCAGCAGAGGTATCGATCCACTCCTGCACAGTGCAAGCCGGAGTGTCGCAGTTGTAATAGATACGGGTGGCCCAGCGAGGGTTGACCTGCATGCCGGCGAAGCCGTTGGCAGCAACGGTGGTGAACAAGGGCCACATCGCATTGTCCGCGTTCAGGAGCACGGGACGCGTGTTGTCACCGACACAGTTGGTGATGCCGTTATCCCACCAGGCCTGAAGAGCATCGCCGTTGTGCAGTCCAGTAATGGCCGGGGGGATGATACCGTTGGAGGTGAAGTGCGCAGCGGCATCGATACCGACCTGCTTGAGCCAGGCCTGGTTGAAGGAGATCTCCTTGAACACATCCGAGTAGGTCGAGTTGTTTTGCTCCTCGTGGGTGAAAGTGTGGGAGATGTGACCCCAGCTGTTCAAGTTGGATGAAGTGGTCCACCAGTTCAGAAGGGCATCGAGCTTGGTACAGGTGGTCGTCCAGTCGTACGCGGTCGGGGTAGAGGGCCAGAGGTTGGTACCAGTTCCAAGCGGCTTCTGGAACTCCAAAGGAGTGTCGGGAGGAGAATCATACTCAATAGCACCGCCGTTGCAGGCATCATAACCGGCATCACCGGTGTTGGCGGAGGCCTCGATGTTGCCGTTACCGTTGTGACCAACCTCGACGTAGTAGCTGCTTCCAGCGTTCATCTTGGCATTGATCGTGGGCACCCAGTTGGTGATGCCCGTCAGGTCATCGGGGGTGATACGGAAGGTCGTGCCATTCGGATAGTAGATGTCCGTCTCGAGGAACATGTCATCAATCTGAGTGTTCAGGTTAACACGGCGGTATCCAGCATAGAGACCGCGTGTAATCCAGGCAATCCAAGCGTGCTGCAAGTAGTTGGAGGTAGCACTCCAGGTGGTATCGAAGGAAATGAAGAACGCCATTTGCTCACGGCCAGAGAAGTTGTTGATCACTGCAGCAGTCGTGTCACTGGACACGACTGAGTTGGAGGCAAACGAGGCAATTTGTTTGGTGGTGTTGGTGTCGCTGATGGTGGCCGGATAGTGCCAGAGACCACTGGTGCTGACACCAGCACCCGTTTTCAGGCCTGAGGTGGGGAAGTCGCTGATATCGGAGAATGAAACCAATTGTTCCACACCCGTGTCACAGCATCCGCCTCCGACGGCACTTGCACCATAGTTGGGGCCCGGATAGACGTCGTACTGTACCATGCGCACACCATAGGCCAGCTGATAGGCATACAGTTGGTTCCACTGGTCCGTAGTCAACGCACTCTGGAAGCCCGCGGTGCCGTAGTCGTAGCTGACCTCGCTGGCAACCACAATACCTCCGAAGTTTCCTCCGGTGGTGGTGTTGAGCGCAGGCAGGCTAGCTCCAGCCTGCGGCACGACAAGAGTGGTGAAGGGAATGCCATAAGCGTTAAGGCCAGAGGACGCAACATTGGCCGAGGCAGTGTCTCGGGCAATAACCAGGATGTTGGCCGCAACAGACCCCGCACTCACCGCCGCGACAGAAGCAGAGACGGCGGCGGAGGCAGACGGGGCAGCCACAATGCTCGAGCTGAGAGACATGGTGGTGGACGCTTCGACTGACACAACAGAGGAAGACGAAGAAGAGGAGGAGGAAAGAGAGGAAGAAGAAAGCGATGCAACGATTGTAGCAGTAGAGCTGAACGAAGTGAGTAAAGTAGTAGGTGCAGCAGTGGGAGTAGACAAAGCGAGAGAATCGGTGGTAGTAAACGAATGAACAATTGAAGTAGTGACAGGAACAATTGTTCCTGAAACTCCAATGGTTGAAGTTGTCAAAGGAGCTGCAGTGGATGAAATGACCGTCGCACCCTGATCAGGCCAAACACCTGGGGGCGTATGGCAGGTTATAAATCCGAAGAAACAGCCCGCATTGAGCAGCCAGGACGGAATCATGATTGCAATGTAGTCTGATCAACCGATCCTGCGCAAGACGAAAAGGAATGTCAGCCCGACGAAGGCGAATGATAGCGAGTGACTGGGTGGACCTGAGCTTCAGGACCCCTGGCGAAATCGTCAGCTGTAGACTAAAGATCAGCGGCTTGTGTTCTGTGGGCACAATCACATCCTGTGTGTTTATATTAACTGCCGGGGGGTGCCTGCTCCCCAGAGCTCGTAAAAAAAGCTTGATAGCCTATCGTTTCACGCAGTTTTTCAGGGCCAGACCCGTTAAATCCGAAGCCGAGGGTTCCACGATTCACTCAGATATGGCGCACTTGGTCTCCGCTGGGTACTTGCAGCCCCGCTTTTTCAGAGATTCAGGTCCCTGGATGGAGGAGTCGGAGGCGATGAGTCGATTCATGACTAGTGTGTTCATCGTATCTGAGTGACCCAGTTGGCCATGGCATGCGTAGTGGAAATTGCCCCGAGACTTTTTCCGAGATGGATTGAGGGGAATGGGGGGGGGCTCTCTTCCTTGCCAAAACCATTCGCTAGCAAGTTCCATCCATAATCCAACTCTCAGAACATCTGACAAACAGAGATGAGGAAAAAATAGACGAGAGACGAGCCCACATGGTGTGAGAGTCATGGCGAGGGAGTCTGGCCGTCGAACAAGAGACTCGGCGCACGGAGATGGATTTCCCAGTTCAGCTCACAGACTACTACTAAGGAGCGCTAAAGCATCAGCACAGTT